ACTGGAAATCTGCAGACTTTTTTCCTTGTCATTTCCTAATCAATACTTTATAACAATTATTTACATGATGTTTACATTGCATTATGTATTATAAGTCACTTAGAAATGATTTTAAGTATATAACAGGAGGATGTGCATAGCTTGTATGCAAACACTATATCAGGTTATATAAGGGACTTGATCATCCATGGATTTTGGAAATACTCCAAAATCAAAAACTTTTAAAGCACTAGCACAATGCCAAAGTACCCAAACTGTTTAATATGCAAAATTATTTAAAATAATGTATTAAATTACCCACAGGCTATATAAGCTGTATATGAAACATAAACTATATATAAAACATAAATGAATTTTGTGTTTATATTTAGGTCCTATCCCCAAGGTATCTCATTTTGCATAAGCAAAGTCAAACCAAAAACTCCAAAACACTTTAGGTCACAAGTATTTCAGATAAGGAATATTCAGCTTATGTAACTAACTATCTTTCCTGTTTACTGTGTGAACCAATTACCCTCAAGTATGTGGAGTAGCAGACTCACTCTGCATATTCAGTAATTGTCAGTTCACTATCGCTTTGAACATCCAGTAATATTTGTCCCAGGTATTCACGCATTCTGGGCACAGGACCCAGCACAACCGTAACTGGGTCACTGACTTTCCCCGACAGACGTAAGACTTCATCAGCCACATGATATAACCCACTCCACGGGAGGAAAGGAAAGAGGTGGGCCAAGTTCAAGCCTAAAATGAGCTTTTCCATGGTTTCCATCTAGAACTTTGCTTACCAGGGTCCAAGACTGAGCAGAAAGGTTTTCTAACTCAGCAAACAGAGGAAGGGAACAGAGGCAGCAATCCCCAGCTACATGGTGGGGACCGGAGTGTCACTCAGTGTCAGAGCAATGGTCTAGCAAGCACCACGCCCTGGGTTCCATCCCCAGCACCTGGAAAAACAATTCCTGGGCACATGGGCGTTCATAGCTGTGCTGCCTGCAGCACTCGGACAGAAGCTGGGAGAGACGGAAACAAATCTGTAGGCTTCTTCCAAATATCATTTTCATTTCTGACCCACCTATCAATATGTGTGGTTTTCGTGAACTAGACTTCAGGGCCTGGGATCTAGGACGGGGGCACTAGGTCAATGCTGAACAGGAAAAAGGAACTTAGAAAGAACTATCTCATGCAAAGCAAAAATAAAGCTTTATTTAAAAATCCCATAAGCATACATAAGAAACAATTATATAATTATACAAATATGTAACAAGTATATATATTATATAACTGCAAATCATAGAAAACTTTCTCAAAGACATCACCTATTCAAAATTAAAAATTTAGTGGTAGAGCACTTGGCTAGCATGTGCAAGGTCCTGGGTTCAAGCCTCAGCACAAACAGAGAGAGAGAGAGAGAGACTGATTCAGTATGAACTGGCAACAAGCCCCCATGCCAAGATGTTTAAAGTGAAACCAGAGGTAAGGGTGAACACAATATTCACCTCTTCTGCATGAGAATTTCTAATGCTCTGAGTACCTGATAGAAAGGACATGTCACTCCTTCAGAGGGTCATACTCCTTGTAGTGGCATCACATATTTGGTGGGTAGGCTGCATTTGAACTGGGCATTCTCCGTCTGAACCTGAAACACCCTAATGAGGAACCTAAGGCTCTGGGAGTGCTTGAGTGACATGACTGATTCCACACAGGGAGCTACACTGATGCGTCATTACAAGAGCTGATTCCTCTGAGCCAGAATCACGGTTCCCATACCTGCTGTATGTAGGGCTCATCACTTTATGCTTGCTGCCACTTGGAAGTGAGGGGCACAGAAGAATGGCCCCTGGGGAGCCACAGAAGAGACAGAGGTGTCACCCGTGTCCTCCTGGGACACTCTGATGACATGCATGTCTGAATGCTCATTGGAATCCAACAGGAAATTCTGGTCAAGGACAGCGGAAGATGCCTTCTGTCTTAATGAGTACTTGTTATCCATAAACTAATCAGTCTCCTCTTGCCCTTATAAATATATTAGAGTTCCTTGTAATCATTAGCACAATGATCTGTAGGTGTGTGCCAGTGTGTTTAAGTGCCTGCAGATAATTAGTTTTCTAAAATAGACAAAAGAAGCCCTCCTGAAATCTTATTTACATAATAAATCGTTCAGCCAACCCCATTCTCGTCTAAATTACAAACGATATAGCCTTGGCCATGCGAGAAGTCTGAATTAGCTGGCACAAAAAGAGGCTCAAGTTGTAGCTGCAGCCTGGCTCGTCTGCAGCCTGGTTCTCTCTGCTCCCAGGCCAGCAGAAGGTTTTGACACACTGCCCCAGCAGGGTGGAGCCAAAAATGGGTTCATCAAAAAATAATATGGAGATCGGAAAGCAGAGACACAGCAATGGAGAAAACAGGACAATTTGTGCAAGGAGACTATTGTGAGACAATCATAAATAGAATATTCACATTAATGCAGGACTCCCAAAGGCAAGTCACATTAGTAAAGGGACAGTGTAACTCCAATTATGAAGAACAAGCACTAGATGTGTTACACATGCACACACAAACACAAACAGGTGTACCCAAGGATTAATCGCAAAGTATTAGTAGCAGTTATAGTAGCTCTCTCTGGCAAGGGGAAAGCAGAATTTTACCTTTCACTGCTTACATTTTATATTGCTTGTGTTTTCACACAAAGATGAATCTGGAAATTGTTTCTGTAATTAAAATTGTAGTTTAAAATTACCTTTAAAGAAGATTTTCAAAAGATCACAATAAAATTCCTTTTTTCATATAGAGCTCTTTTTCTCTGCATTTAAAATGATTCCACTTATTACATTTTACCTCATTCATATCCTGTGACAAGAAAGGGCAAGTTGCTGTATCACAGACAGGCAAATGGGGGATCTAAAGACATGAAAAACATTGTACATATTGCGGTTCCCTCCTCCACAGTGTGGTTACGGGTCCTTAAGGTGAAGGTTAATTTGGCCAGAATTTTTAATACCTCTCCCTCTTAACCTTCTAAACAAGGGACAGGAAGGAATCTGTGTTATTTTTTCAGATAACGTGACCACAAATCCAGGGGGGAAATCAAAGATCAGAATTTAGGAGGACTTTTCTCCCTAGTCTCTACCCCAAGCTCCAAATGTATATAAACATTTAGTAAGGTATTTTGGTGGATTCCATTTCTTGACTATTGTGAGTAAGTCCAATTATCAGGTGTTAATCAAAAAATTTGCTACGTATTTAAAGAAATGGAAACCCTAACTATCCTGATTTGATGATACAATGTATGCATCTATTGAATTATCACACTGTACCCCATAAATATATACAATTAAAGCAATAATAATGCATACATAAAAATAAAATATTGAAAATTTAGTACTACAGATACACATTAAGCATACTATATCTAGTCTGTGTACTGCAGTTCTTTGGGGGACCACAAACTTATAAAACCCAAGGTTCTCCTGCCTCCTCGGAGAATTTTTTCCTCTTCCACCGTCAGTCAGCTCCTTCGAGTATGAGCGCTCTATATACGCTCCCAGAACTTTCCATTTTCCCTTCCCCTGATCATATTTCCTAAACTGGTGAGACCCTTGGGCTACTGCTGATAGTTCCTTTTTTTCTTGCCATGCTCATCCTGAAATACTGGAGCCACGGCTAAAACCCAGGCGCGCCACAGCTCACAGATCTAAAGCCAGCCTTCCTCCAAGCCGACACCTTCTGGACTACGGTGCGCTTGAAAACTCACAGGGACAAACACACGTTTGAAGGAGTCTGGTCTTGTTTAGAAAGTCCCGCGACTTCTGAAACTCCTCCTCTCCTGTGAGGAGGAAATAAAGGGAGGTCACAGGCTACCGGGTAAGTAACAGCCTGTGCCCGCAGGACCACAGGACTCAAACAGCGCGAAGCTCTGGAGGGGTGCGGGGCTGTGCTTCCCAAATCTTCTCACCTCCACTGTGATAGGGTTCATTCCAGAATCAAAGCTGTTCAGAGTGGGGAGAATCACAGAGCAGGGAGGACATACATACACATACACACACACAACTTTCAAGAAACAATGACGTACCCCAATATATTCCACTCTGCAGTGGTCATTTCATTTTTTTAAAAGCTGGTTGCAGCCCATTAAAATGATATCACCATGCACTAATGGGTTATAACCTTAGGTTTCAAACCATAAATATATCCCAAACCCTCTAATGCACAGATGAGAAAGTTCAGACTTAGCAAGACCAAGTCCAAGGTTCTGAGGCTGCTCTGTGGCAGCACCAGGACCAGCTTAGACCAAGGTAAATGCTGACTGTTGGCATCAGCCAGTAATTAGAACTCAACTCACTGAATGCCTTCTCTATGGATCCTTCCTCTATCTCCCTGGTCAGAATTCATTTCTACCTGCTCCCCACTGCCCACACTTCTAGGGAATCATTATCACTGTTTTAATTTTTTAATATAGCGCCAAGGCCTCATGCATCCTAGGCAAGCATTCTCCCTTGATCTACAGCCCAAACTGTCTTGGGTTTTTTTGTTTGTTTTTTGTTTTGACGCCCAAAGGCCAAGGGCCTTGATATCCCTCTGAACCAAGAGACACAGCTCCAAGCCAAGCGGCCATGGCATTAGGAAAGGGCCAAGTGGTGAACACTTGGGGTTTTGTGGGCCTGACTCAACTCTTCCAATGTCACACAAACTGGCTGCAGACAATTCATAAAGGAATGAAGTTGCGTGTGTGCTGATACATCTCGTTTACAAACACAAGTCCCGGGTCACATTTAGCACCCCCTCCTTCATTTGCCAAACCATTTCTAGAATATTAATAGCATTTTAAAAGGGCCCCAATTCTGGGAAATTCTGTGCTATTCACTTTTTGCAGAACCCTTAGAGAAAAACCACATCTCACTCAAAGTTGGAAAATGAGTCCACTCTGGACTCCTGAGCCAGGGGGCCCTGGGGCCAGAGGCCACCCCCACTCTCTTGCCCCTGTACCCACCAATGGCACTCACTTGGGCGTGTGGGCCTCATCCACGCGGTGACCCAGCTGGAACTCGTGCGACTTGCTCCGGTGCAGGGCGGTGAACCCTGGGATCAAGTGGATCAGCTTCCGAGAGGAGGGCGGCGGGGTACCGGGGGGCTTCAGTTTGTTCTTCCTCCTCGTGGGCGGTGTGCCTGGTGGGGTCACTGTGGTGACGATATTTGGGGTTCGCGGTGGGGTGCGGACTGCGTGCCGCTGCCGGGGTGATGGGGGCAGGGACCGGTGGCCCGACTCCAGGGGCGGGGGCGGGCACAAGCCCGGGTAGGTCTCCACTGTGAGTCTGTCCACATGGGTGTACACAGGGGCCCCGGGCGTGGGGCTGGTGTGACAGTAGTGCTGCCCGCACTTGGACTGGACTCGGGGGCTCTGGGAGAGGTGGGTGCGGATCCACGGCGTGGGCTCTGGGGGACACACGGGACTGTTCTCCTTCCCCGTCTCCGTGGTGGGCCACTGGATGATCCAGTCTTGCTTGGAAAGGTTGCCCCCTGAGTTGGAACAAAGGAGCAAAGAGACAACAGGTGAGCCAGGAGGAAGCAAGGCACCTTACGTCACATGCGCAACACTGACATCCACGTCCTCATGAAGATGCACATCACACGCACCTGATGTCATATGAGGTTACATAACATGCTCCGTACTGTATGTACCTGCCACACACGTGTTACACAATACTCACACTGCATCACATGCACCTTATGTCATATGCATGTTATACAACGGGAGCCTCCCATCACACGCCCCTTACATCATAGGGATGTCACAGCACCCGCATATTCTACTGTACGTAAATTCTATCATATGTATGTCACGTCATCTGCACATTCCATCACCAGCCCTTTGACAAAAGCCAGCTGCACCCTCTGGATCGCTCCAAAAACAATGAAATTCCTTCATTCCCCGGTTACTCTCCCTCAGTCAACATTCTTGCCTTCCATTATCTCCCACAACACAAATGCTCAGAAAAGCAAAGAAGTTAATTCTTTCCTCTCAGGCTTCCAAATGTCCCCGTTCTCACATTGTTGAGTGACTTCAAGTATTCTCAAGAATAATTTGTCCCTTCCGTGATGATTTTACTATCTGAGTCTCGTGTGAGTTACAGAGTCCCCAGAAGTCCAGTTCGTGCTTGGCCACTGAGTTGGCTTCTGCCCTTGTGGACGCTGCTGAGTGCTCATTGTGGATTCATCTAACAAACACTTCCAGGATGCCAGCTTTGTGCCACGTGCTGTGCTTGGCCAAGGGCTAACAGCAGCACACAGACAAGGCCCTGGCCCTGAGGCTGACTTTCTGCCGACACGGAGCAACGACAGGCTCGCTGAAGCATTTCACGGGGTTACAGCCCCGGGAGGGAAAGAAACAGGACGATGTGATAAGCAGTACTGCTACGGTGCATGGTTCCACAGAGGCCGGTCCACACAAATCGCCGACCACTGCTCGGCCACAATCAGAAACCTGGATGGACCTCAGAGAATTATGCTAAGTGAAAAGGGCTGAACCCAAACGTCACACACTGTCTGATTCCACTTATTTGGCATGTTTCAAATGGCTACAGTTTAGAAAAACAGGATAGATTGCTGTTGCCAAGGCTTAGGGAGGGGGGAGGAAAGCATGGGAGGAAATAGATACGGCTATGAGAAAATACAGCGCTGTCTCTCTCTCTCTCTCTCTCTCTCTCTCGCTCTCTCTCTCTCTCTCTCTCTCTGTTTCCCTTGAGTGTACACTCTATTTCTTTGAGTACATACTTATAAATTTCTGTCTAAATAAGTCCCTTTATGAAAAAAGAAAAAAGCAAGCAAGCAAACAATGCAAACAATGCATGTCGCCCAGCATTTGACCATGATGGTGAACACATGAACCTACTCAGCTGATGAAATTACACAGAACAAAATACACCCACCACCACATACAAGTAAAACTGGGGAAATCTGCAAAAGGTCAGTGCACTGCATCAATACCAATATCCAGGCCATGATACGAATTTTGCAAAATGTGCCCATCAAGGGAAACAGCGGATGCATGAAGAATCTCTCTGGGCCTTTTCTTCCAAGTGCATGTGAGTCTACAAGGGCCTTGGAAAGTTTAATTAAGAAATTAAAAATGAAATCCAGGAGCAGGGGTGGGGCAGTTACGTTAGCAGAGCGTTCAGGGAGAGCCTCCTAAGGGAAGTGAGCAGAAGCTATTGTCCACGAACAAGAAGGGAATCGTCAGGCCAACAGCCAGGACCAGGCAGGCCAGGCCGGGGCACAGTGCGGAGGCCCAGAGGAGGCGGGAGGCTGCTGCTGCTGCTGCTGCTGCTGCTGCTGAATTTTAAGTCTCCCAGAAGTTTATTAGAAAGAATGGAGAATTTCTTTTAAGATCCCACTGTAATGAATATAAATTTAGGTCCTCAGACTTGATAAAAGTTAAATTGAAAAATAATTAGACTCAATAATGTACTAACATTTTCTACTCATTTGCTATATTGACAGCACACCGGCAAACTCCATCTATCTAAAGACAAAGACTCTCGGGCCACATCCACACCAAGAGATGTCAACACAGAAGGGTCAAGTAATACCAGATGTTCGGGCTTCAAAACCACCTAAGATGGAGAGTCACTTGCTCTCCTGGGTGTTCCCGAGGTGGGGTGACACAGGGAAGGGTGTCCTCATACACGCCTGCAGGGGCAGCTAGGAAACAGGGCGTTGTCAGGCCGAGGGCTGGAGAGCACAAGTTCCGTGGGAGCCACGGCGAGTCTGGAGGGAGAGAAGACGCTGGGGCTAACGTTTGCTTCTCAGAAATCACACGGGCTGCTGCATGGGAAGTTGTGTCCAGTGAAAGGGTGGCCTAGGGGCCCCTACGGGTGACACCAGCTCTGACATTAGGAGGGTAACAGAGATGAAAAGAAGACGACACAGAAAGACAAATGCCTCAAGCTTCTCCCTCATACGTGAAGGCTGCAAAGGCAGTCATCAGAAAGCGGACAGCAGCGTGATGGTTACCAGAGGGGAGAAGGGTGCGCAGGGATGCGGACAGGATGGCTGACAGGGACAGGCAGAGAGGAGAGCCCACTTCTGATGTTCGATAGCACAGGAGGGTCACAGTGGTCAGTAACGGTTAACTGCAATCATTCAAAATAGCTGGTGGAGAAGATTTTGAATGATCCTAGCACAAAGCAATGGTAAATTTTTCAGGTGCTGGAATGCCAGTTACACTGATTTAATGGGACACATTATGTGCATCTCCTGAAATCACAACCTGTAGCCCACACATATGCAGTTAATTAAACATTTTTAATACACACATACATATATATAAGAAAAGAGAAGCCAGCCAGTGTCCAGGGAGGAAGAGTCGGAGGGACCCGGGGGAAATGACCCTGCAGGGGCGCCCTGCAGGCAAAGGAAGGGACTTGGGGCAGAAAGAAATTCCAACTCGGAGCTAACTGGCAATAACAATAATAATTACTGTAACAACCATAACAAGAGCTAATTTGTGGCCCATTTGCCAGTTTTCAAAATGCTTTCATGAATACTGACTCACCACCCTATTTTAAATTAAAACAGCTCAGTCTGTTATTACGTGTTCATTACAGAAGAAATTAGCAAACTCAGATAAGGAAAAAGGCAATGTTGATCTGTGGCCTCTTCATCATCCCCGTTAACGTCCAACTGTTCGGCTTTCTAGCTGGCTTTCTGCGCATCTTTCTTTAGGGGAGAAAGATGCCGTAAGATAACTTGACATTTCATCACTTATTCTATCACAACTGTTTTACATCTTACTTGATTTTTCTGACTCTGGGCCCAAAGGGCCATTTTTGTCTCCACTTCGTAGCTAAGGAAACTGATGTACAGTGATGAAGTTTTCACAAGGTCATTCAGAGACGGTAACTGGCAGTCCGGGTGTGAACCAGGCCCTCGGCCACTTCCCCAGCCAGGGCACACAGGTGTCTGCCACAGAGAGCCAGGCCCACGTGTGCCGAAGACCACAGTCAAAGAGAATATGTGCCGAGGTAAGGCCTTGTTTCTTATGAGAACGTCCTTGTGTCCTCTCCCAGATTTGCTCGAACATTCTACCAAAGTCAGCATCATTAATTAGCTCTACCCTCAAATATGTATGCACACACATTAGCCGAATAAGAGTCAGCTCTGGAGTCAAATGACTGGGGCTCTGTGTCGTGCTTCCCCTCTTCCTGGCTGTGTGACCTTGAGCACTCCTCTGGCCTCTCTGAACCTCAACTTCCTTGCTTACAAAATGGGGCGATAATAGAATCTCATGCAGAGACAAAGGTGAGAATTGTTATAAGCTTGAAAACTCAGAATGTACTGTACTTTTTACTTAAGGTGCTTTGGTAACTTGTTATCTTTCTGTAAAACTTGTGTAATTGCCATTTAAGTTGCCATTTGTAACACACCCACCATGCAACCCCCTCCCTGCCTCCCAGGTCCCTGTAACTGCTTGCTCCGCCCGCCTGGTTCCTGTAAAACTAAATCAAATTACCTTTTATGGTACCCTGTCCCCTGCCCTGGCTGTTTGCTGCTTTGTAACTCCCTGCAGCCCCTCACGGGGGCACTTCCTTAACTGCTTTCTGGGACAGTGTCACAGCTGAGCTCAGCTAATAAAGTGGTTCCTTTTTAATTTTTGGAGTCCGTCATTTTTCTGACCGTCACAAGGATCAAAGGGAATGACTCAACTAATGCGCTTGCTGGAGGCCCTGGCACAAAGTAGACGGCTGAACACATCAGCAGTCCGACTGCAGCCCTCAGTGAACGTCAAAATGTCCTACTCGTGGGTGTGCACGGTGCTGAGAGCCGTCCCGTCATCACTCTTTGGACAACAAGAAGCTGATGTCAGAGAGACTAGATAACTGTGAGCCAGGGTCAGGACAGAGAATCACCTTCTCTGGGTGATTCCAGCTTCTCCAGGACCCAGAAAACTCTGGTTTGATGCATGTGATCAGGGAATACAAACCCCTGTCAAATCAGCCCGCATAAAACATGTTTCAGAAGAAAAAAATCTGTGTTTCTAAGCTATCTTACACTTCAGCTACACACAAGCCCCCTCTGGGAGTCACCCCTGTAGCTGTCACCCTCCCTGAGTGACACAGGAATTATATAGGAGAGCGCATCAGAGGGGCCTGACTTAAAAACCTGGATCCATCAGGAGCCAGCTCTGCAACCTTGGGTGAGTTACTTAACTTCTCTGAGCCTAAGTTTCAGGGTTCATAAAAAGAGAACAACTGTGGAGAAGCTGAGTGAGGATCAAGTGCATTCATCCAGCCATCTGTTTGACAAACATGTGAGCGCCTTCCACGCGCGGCCCCTCCTGCAGTGCAGCGATGGACACAACAAGCAAAACCCGCATCCTCATGGGCTCGCTTTCTTAACAGACAGCACACAATTCATCGTCTACTACGTGTGTCGCATCAATGGTGGCAAGTGCTGTGGAGGGGAAAAGCAGGATTCAAGAGCTCCAGGGGCTGCTTTACCCAGCGCGGGCAGATAATGAA